GCCCCCCCCAGCCACGGTGGGGGCAAGCACACCACCTCGGCGCTGGAGAGGAGCAGGGAGGAAGGCAGCCCAGGTGCCACGCCGGCGCAGAGCTCCTTGCACGGGCTGTCTGCGATGCCCCGATGGTGGCTGGTGACTCTTTGGCGTGCGGAGTCTGCTGCCAGGCAGACTTTACCCCAGGCGGCCAGGTCCTGCCCTTTACCCTGCAGAGTGGCGCGGGGAGCAGACAGACACCCCCACACTGCTCGTACCTGGCAGCATGTCGTCGAAGCTGGAGCGGGCTTCAGGGTGGCGCAGCAGCGACTTTGGAGTGAAGATTATCAGCTGGAAGGGGGAAGAAGAGGCAGGGCGAGGTGGTCAGCCTCACCACAAACACCCCTGCAAGCAGAGGTCGGAGCACTGACCTGCCTGTCCTGCCTGCCCTCCCCTGCCCAAGCACAGGAGCAGCTTGAAGAGATTTGCTCCTCACCCAGCGGCTGTGCTCTGCCAGATTGGGCACCACCGGTTTCTGACAGCACCGGCTTTCCCAGTCTGGGTTTCCCCTGGGGAAGATCCGAGGTGCTGCCAGGGACCTGCCTGCCCCACGAGTGGAGCTGAAGGCAAGCGGCTGGACTGGGTTATCTACCGATGCCTGCCAGCCCCAGCGTCTCTGACCTCGCTGCGGAGCGCAGGAAGGGTTGCAGCCACCCCAGCCTGCACGAGCCGGCTGGCAGCATGTCACATACTGAGCCAACCCCGAGCACCAAGAGGTCCTTGGCCCGGGCAGAGGCAAACCACCTGTGTTTGGTGCCAAGGTGCAGGAACAAGCCCGCCCCAAGTCCCGTTCCCAGGCTCGGCAGGAACACGGGGCTGCCCTGCCTCAGCATCGAGCTGGGTACAGCGCTGCCAGCACTGACCGGTTTGCGGAAGGGCAGGAGGATCTGGCGCCGGAGGACATGGAAGAAGTTGGCCGGAGTGGAGCAGTTCACGACGATCCAGTTGCAGTCGTAGAGCTGGCGCACGTCGAAATCGTCCAGTTTCTGCCTCAGCAAGCGCAGTTGAGGGAATTTCAAGAAACACAAGGTGCCTCTTGGCCTCGCAGCTCCGGCAGTGGGGAGAAGAGCGGCACCCAGCCCTCCCTCCCTCCTCTCCCCCTCCAGAGCACACAGAGACCCAGGAGAGGCTGCACGTCTGTGCCCCTCACACCTTGGCGTGGCCAGCAACCCCCTCCCACGCTGCTTTTGGGACCACCTCTGCCTCATGCTGTGCAGCAGCCCCAGGAACAATGGAGGTGCAGCCTGGGCACTGGCTTCAGCCCCTTTCCCCAAACTCTCCTGGCTGCAGCATGAGCCCAGACCATCCCACACCTCCTGTTACCGGCTCCACAACACCCACCCCAAGCGCAGCATTGCACTGAGTCCACCCGGGTGGTATTGCCCCCCCCCTTCCCCATTTCAAGGCAGCGGTGGGATCCAGGACACGGGAGGGCCGGGCTGAGCTCGGCACAGCCGCCACTCACGGGGAAGACGTCAGGATCGTCGTTGCACATCTGCAAGAATCGCTCCGGGCGGGCGGAGGAGTGCTCGGGACCCTGCAGGGACCAAGCAGGGGGGAGAGTGAGCAGGGGATAAGGCTGGTGTGAGAAGTCGACGCTGGGCACTGCCACGCTGCACGCAGTGCTACCTGCTGCCACTGCCCTCGGCTCTGCTTCTGGTGCAGGCCAGGCAATGGGCACCCTGGGGTGCCCACGAGCTGGGGGAATCCTTACCATGCCCTCCATGCCATGGGGAAGCAGCAGGACGATGCCGTTCTGCCTGACCCACTTGGCCTGCCCAGGACAGATGAACTGGTCGATTATGCACTGAGCGGTGTTGTGGAAGTCCCCGAACTGGGCTTCCCAAAGCACCAGGGCGTTGGGGCTGGCCATGGCAAAGCCCAGCTCGAATCCTGAGGGATGGCAAAGAAGCAAGGGTGTTATCCTCCCAGAGTGGCCTCACCCCCGGGCAGCAAATGCTGACCTCCTCACTCACCAAGGACGCCGTACTCCGACAGAGAGCTGTTGCAGACGGTGTAAGGAGCCTGGTTGGGCCAGAGGTGGTTCATGGGGATACAGGTCCTCTTGTCCACGTTCTGATCGTGCAGGACATGGTGGCGATGGCTGGAATAAGGGGAAGTGTTATTCCATCGTCACCCTTCGGATCCCTTCTGGAAAGGCTGGAATCGCCTTTATGGCTGGCTTTACCTGAACGTCCCCCTCTCAACATCCTGGCCGCTCAGGCGGATGTGGATGCCCTCTTTGAGCAGGGAGCCGAATGCCATGTACTCTGCCAGGGCCCAGTCCACCGTCCGGTTCTTCACCATCTCCCCACGGGTTTTCAGAATACGGCTTAAACCTGCCGGGACAGAAGCTGGTTTACAGCCAGCATAGGAGGGAGCTCCAGCAACACCATGTTTGTCCCACGACCTGCTCACGGACTGACAGATGCAAACACCTGGGGACAGAGGAACAGATCCACCTCTGCCAGAGGGATGAACCAGGGATCAGGAATCAGGACTGCAGGGAAGGATCAGCTCCAAAGAAGAACTACTCCTCGGTTCACTTCCCTTAACCACAGCTCCCTCATGAACTAATTCTCATAGACTCACAGAATGGTTTGGGTTGGAAGGGACCTTAACCCCACTCTATTCCCCCCCCCCTGCCATGGGCAGGGACATCTTCCACTAGATCAGGTTGCTCAAAGCCCCCTCCAACCTGACTTTGAACACTTCCAATCCACAACTTCTCTGGGCAACACGTGCCACTGTGTCACCACCCTCAGCGTAAAACCTTTATTCCTCATGTCCAATGTAAACCTGCCCTCTTTCTGTTTAAAACCCTCACCCCTTCTCCTGTCACTACAGACCCTGGTAAAAAGTCTCTCCGCACCTTTCTTGTGAGCCCCCTTTACATACTGAAAGGCCGCAGTAAGGTCTCCCTGGAGCCTTCTCCTCTCCAGGCTGAACACCCCCAACTCTCTCAGCGTTTCTGCACAGGAGAGCTGTTCCAGCCCTGGGATCCTCTGCTGGACCTGCTCTAACAGGTCCATGTCCTTCTTGCGCTGGGGACCCCGGAGCTGGATGCAGTGCTCCAGGTGGGGACTCAGGAGAAGGGAGTAGAGGGGGAGAATCCCTTCCCTCGACCTGTTGGCCACACATATCGAAGCACTGTAACAGGTCCTTTCCTTCCAGGCTATGTTCCAGCCCTATCCCCTATCATCTCTGGAACAAACGCCCAGTCTGGCATAGCTTCCGCAGGCTCCTACCTCCGTGGATAGTAAAATCCTCCACTGGCACCGAGCTGGCCACTTGACCAATGTGCGTCAAGTCCTCTTCATTCAGACCGGTGGAAGGGCAGGTCATGCTCCGGGGCTGGCCATCCAGAGTGAAGAAACCTGCAGGAGGAGGAGCAGTCCACCATGTTGTGGGAGTCACGCCCAGCTCCCTGCCATGAGCTCAGGTCATGGACACCCTCAAGCAAGGGTCAGGATGCCAGGAGCAGAGAACACCACCCCACCTCCCCACCAGGGTGATTTACTAGAAAACAGCTGCCACAGCTCTATAGAAGCCAGGCTTTTTGCTAGGGACCCCCAAAGCGTTGCTAGTGACTTACCAGGCCAGGGTGAGTCAAGCCAGTGCTTGATGTGCAAGATCTTTTCGTCCTTGGATCTTGCATGGGCCTCCTCGCAGATCTTATCGTACTTGGCAATCTCCTCCTGAAAGGCAGAACCAGGAGGTGGAAAAGCATTAGCGAGGGGTCTCCAAACAAGGGTGCTGAGCCTGGGGGCCTTGGTGCAAACTTGCAAGGGTGCTGGAGGGCACAGCTAATCCCCAGAGCAGGGGAGCACCAGAGCTGTGCAGCTCAGCCTTAGAGAGCAGACCTGCTGCTGGAGGCCCCTGTCCCCCAAGGGGCAGCTCTGCTGTCGTCTGAACCGACAACACGCGTTCAACCCTAAAGATGCTGCACAGTGGTACCAGGGCAAGGGAGGGCCTGCAGAGCTGCGCTTGCTGCCAGGGCGGCAGAGCTGGAGCAGAGGACCTGCCCCAGATACCCCCAGGCCACAGTAAGCCCGAGTACTGCAGAGCCCAGCTCTCCTGTGGGTCCCAGCCGTGCCGCAGTGGCCCAGCACCGTATGGCCTGTGCTGCGCTGATCATGGGGCAATCCTTGAACTAGATGTTCCTGTGCTGTTCAGAGCTGGCACAGTCCAAGGACGAGCCTTGGCTCCTAACCCCGTCGCTGCCAGGTCTGCAATGCTCACCCAACCCTAGCACAGCTCTGCCACCTTTAGGTGACAAGCACAAGCAGAAATGGTCCTGTCACATTGTTCACACCCAGGTCTGAAACAAACAAGTAGTTTTTCCCCAGAGATGCTGCCCGCAGTTTTCCTCCCAGGTCCCAAGGAACAGTACCTCATACTCCGGCTGATTTACCACCCCCTGGGAAATCAGCAGTTCTGCGTATTTCTGCAGCACTGGCTTCTGTTTCCGGATCTGCTTGTACATCAGGGGCTGCGTGAACATGGGTTCATCCATCTCATTGTGACCATTGCGCCTGTAACAAACCTGCCAGGAAGGCAAAGAGCCTTTGAAAGCAGCTGCTTGCAACGCATGGCTCTGCAAGCGGTCAGAGGTACCTGGGTCTCTGTGCTAGGAAGGGTCTGAAGGAGCCAGGTGGGACCCAAGCACGTCCTCCCCAATGCGGGAGGTGAGGGCAGGCTCCATATAGTGACAGTGTTGCCCCTCCAAGTGCTATCACAGCCTCATTGCCTTGCTTTATGCCACCTCCTCCCTTCCCTCATGTCAAAAGGGCCAGACAAGCCCTCAAGAAAAACACTCAGCTTTCAGAAAATACAGCCTGAGAGGTATCGGCGAGCACCCACGGCAGAGCTACAGCTTTAGGATAAAGCCTCGTGCCACGTTTCTTACCAAATCCACCACCACGTCCTTATGGAAGGTGCTTCGCCACTCTGCTGCCACGTTGCACACATACACGACGGCCTCTGGGTCGTCCGCGTTGACATGGAAAATAGGTGCATTCACTACGCGGGCAACATCGGTTGGGTACGGGGAGGAACGGGCCATCCGGGGGTCTGTTGTGAAGCCGATCTGTAGTGGGCGAGAGAGAACAGGACCAGCACAGTGGTAAGGACACTTCAAGGACAGCTCGGCTGCTGCAGCTGAGCTGGGGGTTCCCCCACAGCTGCGCTGCTCAGCCATAGCACAACCTGCCTGTCTCCTGCACCCCATGCGCCACAGCCTGTCCCTGTCCCTGTGCCCGGGCCGTCGTCCCACTGCACTGTGGGGCATGGGCTGGATTATGGCTCGTGCCAGGAACACTGGCTGGGAAACAGCTACTGCCTGCTGCCAGCTACCGCCCAGACCTGAGCCTGCAGAGGCTGGTCTGCAAGGGACCACCACGGACACAGCAAGTTGCTCCTCACCTGGTTGTTCACCACGACGTGGACAGTGCCGTGGGTGGTGTAAGAGGGCAGGTCACTCAAATGGAACGTCTCGTACACGATGCCCTGCCCAGCGAAAGCGGCGTCTCCGTGCAGGAGGATGGACATTACCTGGGAGACAAAGCCACCGTGGTCAGCAGGGGCTCTGCAGGGACGGCGGGCAGGGAAGGGCCCAAGTCTCATCCCCATGAGCCTCTGGCGTCCCAGAAAGGACACAGAGCACCTCATCAATGTATCCGATGCTTTCTCAGGGGATCTGAGCGGAGCCGGCCATGATTGGCGCAGTTGCCACGGAGAAGGCTACAGCCACCAGTTCTCCCCTGAGCGAGGGCGGCATGCTTGGGGCGCCTTGACTGGGCAGCAGGATGACACCCAGCACACAGCAGCTGGGAGGCAAGTCCCTTTCCCAAACACACACATCTCAAAGCAAAGCCTTTTTCTAACTGGGGGAAGATGAGAAAAATGCCCCTTTCCCCCATGCTTTCACCCCAGAAGACCTTTGGGCAGGAGCCAGGCCAGGAGCTCACTCCGGCTTCGGTGACATTATTTTGCTGTCGTACCCAGGGGCTGGCTGAGGATGCTGCCTGTCAGACGAGGACAGAGTTTGTCTATTTATATCCAGCCCCTGGGGTGTAGGAGGAAGGGAAACACTTTTGATCTCAGCCTTCTGCTTCTTGGTGTTGCAGACAGGTCTGTGATGAATCGGACCGCCAAGAGACCCCCACCGCAGCCCGTTCCCCACCTGCTCTCCCACCTGGGTGCAGAGAGCTGCCTCCTGCTGCCAGCTCCAGCTTTCCCAGCCCCAGGAATGGTTATCCCTGGTCACGTTAAGACCCTTCAGCTCGAGGCTCCTACCGCCAAGCCCTCCAAGCTGTGATGTTCAGGTTAGCTTTCGGGAATTCCCCTCATTTCCCTGCTTTCCAACTGGGGGTTTGGGCATCTGCTGCTCCCCGCAGTCCGGCTGAGCCGGTCATTCAGGGATGGAGGAAGCAGCAATGGGAGCCTGAGGTGGGCAAGCTCCTACCAAAGTTATCCTCAGCGTCAGTGGGGAAGGATGGGGGAGCAAAGTCAGGGCGATGGCAGGGGAAGGGGCTTGGCAAACAAAAACCAGCTGGGTTTCTTCGCTTTCCCACCAAACCTAGTCCAGTCCTAGCCATTTCACTGCAGGCGTCTCACCACCACTCACCTTCTTCCCTTCCGTGTCCCCACAGTAAAACTGCTCTGCTTTAGTCTTCCCTTGAACAACGGGATCAGCTGCCTCCAAGTGAGAAGGATTTGCCACCAAGGAAAGGGTGATGTTCCTGTCGGTGACGCGGTTAATGCGCCGGTGGTACATTCCCAGGTGGTACTTCACATCACCAGAGCCCTGACAGAGGGAAAAGGAGAGTGACCCCAAGAACATGAGCGGCTTTTGGGGCATGAAGGAGACCTGAGGCAGCTGACCCCTTGGTGCTGACCCCAAGGGCTGGAAAAAGGGGGCATTTTCTGGAGGCACTGGCAGAAAGCAGCAGGAACTCACTTTAGGAGCTGACCTGGCACCCAGCAATGCAAAAGTAGCCTGTTCCAGGTGCCAAACCACCACCAAACCTCAGACATGCATCAAGCCCATCTAGGTAAGACCATAGGTGCACAGGAAGAAGCAAGTGTGGTGGGTTTGGGAAGACACAGGAAAACAGCCAATGCTCACCCAAGTTCTGCCCGCACTGCGGCAGTACAGCTGTCCCTGGCACTGCTTGCAATACAATGCAGCTCCCAGGTGGGGCACATCGACGCCCCAGGCTGCTGCTTCCTCACCTCAAAACCCCACCTGAAGGGCGTGGCAGGATAAAGCCAGCCCAGCTTTCCAAAAGCCAAATCATCCCAGTTTATGATGCTGGAAGCTTTGGAGCACGAGTGCATCACAGCAACAGAGCCTGCTGCACAAGTGATTCGAGCTTCGGGGCTTTTGGAGCTTCTTTAGGGCCCCATATGGGGACCAGGGGCTGCTGCAAGGGTACAAAGCCAACCTCAACTCCTGTCTGCCTTCCTCTCACCTCACTGTTCACCCCAAGGCTGCTTTACACCCATGGAGAGCTGCTGACCACTCAGACTGCGCTGGAGGCACCAGCCAGAGCACACATCACCCCCCGGGACAGGCAAGGACAGACCAGCAGCAGCACCGACACGAAGGCTTCAGTCACACGAGCACGTCTGCGACACGGAAATCCTTACAACGCTGACGCCACCAAGTGAGACCACAAGCGGTGGCACAATCCAGCTCACACTGCACGGCCACAGCCTTCAAGGACTGCACAGGGACAGGTGACTGTAACCTGCTATGGGCAGAGGAGACTCACCTCATCAGCAGCCTCCAGCTTGGAGTCGAACTGGCAGAAGATCTGCTCCAGCTCTTTCCTGATCACGTTGGCAAGAACGTTCAGGCGTCCTCTGCAAAAGCAAGACCGTTGTTGGCAACCAACGGTGCCAGACTGGCATCGAGTGCCAACAGTGACCCGCCGTCCCCCTGTCACTCAGGCAATGCAACAACCCCACACCTCCCATGACGGCTGTAGGGTCAACCAGGGAGGGGGTTCCTGAGAAGCAGACTGCAGAGCCCTCAGCATGGGGATGGACTGGCTGCCGCCACATCCCAACGGCTGCCCCAGAGTGGGCAGGCCAAACCATGCTCTGGGATTCCAGCTCTGCCGGTCGAGCCACAACCCCTCTCCAGATGAATTTTAAGCTGAAGCTGAAAACACCGTGATAAGCAGAGAGCAGACAAGGCCTGAGGTCTCCAGCTAAGTTTCACCACCAGCCAAGACCAGTTAGATGATGGCAGAAGCCAGCATGCCCTCCAGTACCGAACCCCGGCAGCATCCCCCTCCTCCGTGCCCCAAGCACCGCCGTGGAGAGAGGCAGGGTTACCTGTGGGGCATCCCCATGATAACATAATCCACTCCCTTCTCACTCGACTTATCAATAATGGTCTTTAAGGCTGGGATCAGCACTTCGCAGCCCTCCAAACCAAAACGCTTCTCTGAAGACCATTTCCGATGGAGGAACTCCTCAAACCTGGAGGGCAAACGGAGAGAGGAATCAGTGTCAGGGCTACAGCTGAGGAGAGAAACCAGAGAAAGGATGGGGACCACACCAAGGGAGCCACAGCACCAAGTGATGCTTAAACAGGCATCACACAACAGCCCGACAGCCTTCCCGGTCACCACGGTCTCCTCCTGCAGAACTTGGCTGGCTGCTCCCCTACCCCAACGTTGTGCTGCACTTAAATCCTATTTTTAGACCCTTTCTTTCAGGATCATCCACAGTTTTGGGCTGCCAGCACCTGAGCCTGCCAGACCAGCAGATCACTGGCATCACCCTGCTGATTAAGCCAACCACGACAGATGACGTCAAGGTGTGACTCAGGTGGTGACCGCATTGCTCCGGCTGGGAGCAAACCACCCTGTGCAGCAAGGGAAGATAAGGAGAAGGTGAAGACCCCTCCTGGGATACCTGGTAGAGCGGACCAGCCTGGCCAGCAGCGTGCGTTTCTCTTCATTGGTGAACTGCATGATGCCCGGGGTCTCAAACTTCTGCCGGATCCACTGGCACTGCTCCAGGTCATTGATAAACATGAACTCCACGCCGATATGCTGGCAGTACGCCATCTGCCCCGACGGGAGAAGGGCCGTGAGACAACAGTCAGGGCTTTCACAACTCCTCACCCCCCCGCAAAGACAGGCACGTGCGGCATCGTATTGGACCATGGGGCCCGGGAGTCTTTTGTTCCCCTCTAACCTTTCAGCAAGACAAAGAGCCCTCCTGCGCCAGCAGAGACGCAAACCCTCCTGCCTGACAGCTGCATCACGCTGACTGAACACCGGCAAGCGCTGCCTGCGACGGCAGCCTGGGGGGACCCGTGAGCAGCACACAGCAGCCAGCACCATGCCAGCCCTGTTTCGGGAGCCTGGTTTGAGCTTTTTTCCCAGGAAAGGGGACACCACAGGGGATGTCCTGGGATGCTGCAGGGCAGCTCGGACCTTGCACATGACCCAGCATCAAAATGTTTAATTCCCTTTCCCCAAGGGGCCCAAGATCAGACCCCTGAGTCCTTTACATCCACCTTGGTGACAAGATTTTCCCTCTCGGTGGCATCAGCTGTGACCAGGTCCACAACCCCACTTCATATGGCAGGGAGAGAAGCAGCAAAACAAGCTCCACCAACAAATACGTAGCCCGTTCTTGCAGCTTATCCAAGATGTTGACACAGCTTTGCTTCTCCCAAGGTCAACCCGTCTCTGCAGAGACCATCTGAGCAAGCCTGCAGCTTGCCTGGGACCTGTCTGTGCCCTCAGCTCGGGTGGAGCAGGGTATAAAATTTGGCAGTGAAGGGGAACTGGCTGCAAGAGCTGGAAGCCCCAGCCCCAGGTTGGAGCTGCTCCTGCACCAAGACCCTCCAAGGGGCAACCATGCAGGGCAGCAGCACTGCAGCCAGTGCACAGAGAGGGGTATCGCCTGCCTCCAGCCTGCTCCTGTACTCTCCCAGCACCATTTGCTGATTTAAACTGGAAAATGTAGCTGGGGAGGTTTCAAAAAATGCAATACTTAGCTGCCTGGGGTTTGCTCCACCTTGGGTAGACCAAATATGTTGCCCCAATACAGCATGAAGCTGGAGGTGATCAGAGATGACCAAGTAACGTGGGGCAGCTGCTACGAGCGGGGCAAGCACTGAGGACTAGCTCCCAACCTGAAAAAGCTTAAAAACTGCAGGTTGGCCCAGGCTGCGGGCAGCAGCAGGGCTCAGGACCTCCAAAAAGCAACTGCTCTGCCCCTGCCCCAGGCTGCAAACAGGTCTCACGCAGCCCGCCCTGCCCTCCTCACCTCCAGCCGACGGATGATTTCCCGGAGCGGAAGAGCCGATTCATTTCCACCGATGAAAGTGGTTGTGGGCAAGTGGAAGACCTTGTCGAGGTCAGATTCATCCAGCCCGTAAAAGCCTGCAGGATTTTTCGTGGGTGGGACAAGCGAAAGCAAGAGAGAGGAGGGAAGAAAGGGGACGGGGGGACACCGTCACGCAGGGACCAGGTGCATTTGGGAGAGGTGGGGAAGGGACAAAAAAAAGCAGCATAAAACCAAAAATAAGCATGAAGGAGGTTTATATGGATAAAAACCAAGCCGTAATTAAACAAAAAGACATTAAGCACCAAACAACAAGGTTATTACGAAAGGTAACGCAGGAAATGAAACACAAAGCAATATATATATACGCATGTAAATTGGTAATTAAAATCCAGGGTGAGAGTCAGGAAGTTTGTAGCCCCAAGAATGCAAAAAATACACCACAAATTATAACAGAGAGGAGAGAAAAGAAACAGAGGAATTGAGGAGTCACCGAGCACAACAGAGGTGTCACCACATGGTGGGAATTAAAAGGAAGAGTCAATGCGGAGAAGGAAATGGTTAAAACAGACAAACCCCAAAGACAGAGAAAAAGAGAAGCAAGAAAGAGAAAAGGGCATCAGGGCTCTGCGACGGACTCTCCTGAATAGCTCAGCCCGGGAGCGGGGCAGCCAGCTGGCCCTTCGGGGGTTTTGCTGCCCAGATAGCCCCCTAGCCGCAATTAACAGCCTTTTAATTAGGGGTTTAGCCTAACTCTGCTCAGCAAACCCCCTCCTTTTTGGTGCTGGCACCTCCTGGTTTGCAGGCAGCTCCTACTTATGGCACGCGGGGCTGCAGGGAGCCGGGCTGCGCCTGGAGAAGGTGCCAAGCAGGGCTCGGAGCCGAACGTCGGATTTTAGAGCTGCAGGCGAACGCCCCGCTGCCTGCTGCTGTTACAGCATCGGCAGCTCCATGGTACCCCAGAGCCATCAGAGGTGCCTCAGCGCCCGCTGAAGCTCGTGGTTGTCTTTGGGGAAACTGAGGCACAGAGGAGGAGGGACAATGAACTCGCTGAACCGATGCAGCAAGGCAGAAGCAGAGCTGGGAAGGGGACTGGGGAGTCCGAAGACCCTTTTGAAGCAGGAGCCTGGCTGGAAGGGGGCGTGGATGAGCAGAGCTGCCCACTGCCAGCCCAGAGCACTAACACTTCCCTCGGGCTCCTGTTCGTCCCTCCCAAACTCCCAACAGAGCCGGGCTCCAAGGTGTTCTCTAACCCAGGACAGGAGCCAAGGAGGAGGCAGAGTTACCACCGCTCCTCACAGCTCCCTCCAAACCAGCCCAATGCCTCAGCTGGGGTCTCTTCTAGGGAGGGTACAGGGGATGCCACCCCCTAAATGCTGTGGGGCAGCACCCCACCTGCCTCCAGGCAAAGGGAGGCAAAAATTTGCCCCTCCAGAGCTGGCCCTCCTTGAAGTTAATTTTAAAAGTCTATTCCTTGCCCTCTGTCCAGGAATGGAGGATGAGCGGGAGACGGGGCTGGCCCACGGCTCGTCCCTGTGTGGCTTCAAGGACGGCGCTTGCCAGAGGCTGGGAGCACCCACAGCAAGCCCGGAGCAGAGGCTTTCCTGGTTGCCTCTGCCATCCATCCCCCACATCACCCTCCTGGATGCTGCCGGTCCCCGGGGAAGGAATTAAGACAGACCCTGGGGAGCACTGAACCGCAGCTGGCCGGTTTGGCCCCGTGTCTCCGAGACTCCTCTGCGGTTCCTATCCAAACAGGAGTCCTGGAGAGAGGCAGCGTTAGTACAGAGCAACCCAGTTAAGCTGCTGGCTGGAGGTTTCTCGGTAATTTGCTGTGGCTCCCAGCCCCACGGCACAGGGCTTCGGCTTGCTTTGCCATGCCAGTTTGAAGACTCAGGCATGCTTTGGGGGGGGTATCAGATTTTACAAGGACTTTTCAGGGCTCGAAGCATCTCTGCTTCTGCTTTGCTGCAGCCTGCCAGCTTTTTTGACAGTGCTGAGTATTTATAGGCAGCAATACCATCAGATGGGAGGGAAGGCTAGTGATGAGCTGCCGAATTTTCACTGGGACAAAACCAGGGCAGTGTCAGGAGAAGACAGCTTGGATTTTTAGGAGACTCGAACCAATCGGGGAGATTGAGGCCTCGTAAAATTAATGTTCACAACAAAACGTGTACTCTAGCAAGCTAGGCATGCAAACACACAGTATGGAAAAGGCCAGCAAGGTTCTAAATTGGGGATCTCTACAGGTGAAGCATCATTAACCAAGCGCCTACACCAAGACTTTTAGTGGAACAAATTAAAAATAAACACATCACAAAACTCAAGAGCGGTGCGAGACGAGAGGGGACCGCTTTACCGGCTTGGTTCATGCCCAGAATAACCTATTCAAAGAGAGTCCTGCACTCCAGAGGGTTAAAGGCTCATTAATTGCATACCTCCTACTGTTAACACTCTCAGCCGCTCCTTGAACACTGCGAGATCTGGGGTGGGCAGGGAAAGGGGTGCAGAAAGGGAGAAGATAGAGAGACGCAGTCAAAGTTAGTAAAAAAAAAAAACCTGGAACCGTGAAAACTAGAAAACTAGTCATGGAAAGCACAAGTCAAAAAAAAATACAGTATTTAAAATACAATCAAAAACCATTAGAGGCAGAAGGGTTGGGACAGAGGATGACTGCACACTAGGCGGAAAAGAAATCCCGATGGAAAGTCTGGCGAGAGGAGGGAGGAGCAGGGAGGGGAACGGGGGGCATCAAACACTGGGGAGCAGTTGAGCTGCATGGTTTGAGATCTCCTCTCGTGTGCGCACCTCGGACGGGAGAGAGAGACCACCCGGCTTGGCATCTTCACCCGCTACGACCAAAAGACATCTGCCAGTCAAGCTGCATCCAGGGCAGCATTATCCTCTGCAGAGCAGGGAGCTGCCTCCCACCAACATCTGCTCCCAGAGGGTTTTGCTCTGCTTGTCACTACTGGGAGGATTTCAAGATCACCCCCAAGGAGGCACCGCTGCTGCCTACACAGGCAGGAGGGGGATCGGGGTGTTAATGAGCAGGCCATTAATGAGGAAGACCAATGGCGAGGCAGGCACGCATAATGCCGTCATTTCTCGAGCACGCTTGACGCAGGCGAGAGCACTGGGACGCCATGGTGGATGCAGGCCGGGCTGCGTGCGTCACCGGAGCTGCGCTCCTCGGCTAGGTTAGGTAACTCGAGTGCCTCAATCTCACCTGGGTTACAAGAAAGGCTTTGGAAACACCTCTCCTTTTGGTCAGTGGGGAAAAAAAATTGTACGTTTAGGTGAGATGTTTGGTTAGCAAAGTCTCAAACTAGGAAAAGGGGGGGTGGCAGTGCTTCCAGCCCATCTCCCCACAGGGTCTTGCCTTGGCTTTTCCCAAGCTGGAGGATTATTTCCATCAATTCCCCTGAGCAAGAGGCAGGAGCAGCTGCCTTCCACCGAGAGACAGACCAACAGACAGATGGGTGCGCGGACACAGACTGCCTTCCACGCACAACCTGGATTTCAGCATGCCGAGGTATTATTTCCTTGGACAGGTCACATCAAGTTCCTGCAATCATCTTGTCCTTGTTTTATGCCACTTACCATGCCAGATCAGCTGCAGTAGAAGACCAGGATAAGAATATTTCATTTTTTAAAAAGAGAAAGAGGAATTTGGTGGCTCCGGCCCCACCACTCATCAGACCGAGTACCCCCAGGCAGGCTTTCTCCTCCTTACATTTTCTCCAAAGCTCACACTGCTTAATCCAAGGAGAGCTTCCAAACCAGACACAAACCAGTTGCTTAACAAAAGGCAACTGAGAAGAAAGATCAATTTCCAAGATTAACCATGCAACTCCTTTTGAATTATGGCACTGCCCAGCCACGGTTTAAGCTGTTGGCAGCAAAGCTCGCACCACAAAAGCTGACCTTTAAGGATTTCACTGCTCAGAAACAGGAAACAACATTGTTTCCAAGTTTCAAAACCATTCCTGTTATTAACTGCTCTGTCAAGTATTAAGAAATACTCTTTCAAAGCAAAAAAAGCCAGCAGGATCTGCTTAGAAATTTGCTTTCTCTACCACAAGCAGGTGACACTCGATCTTAGGCTCGGCCAGAGCTCTGCCCATGTTCTGCACCAGCACTGTTCTCCTCCCCTCTTGCTGAACGGTTTGCAAGCTATGTTCACCAAGTTGTATTTTAAGATCAACCGGATGAGGTTTTCCAGGATGAGGATACCAGGGGAAAGTCTATTCAGTACAAATAATACTTACAGCAAGATACAGCCCTTCTCGTGTCCAGAGGAGGGTAATGAAGCTGGTGAAGGGTCTGGAGCACAAGTCTGATGAGGAGCGGCTGAGGGAACTGGGGTTGTTTAGCCTGGAGAAGAGGAGGCTGAGGGGAGACCTGATCACTCTCTACAACTACCTCAAAGGAGGTTGTAGTGAGGTGGGGGGTTGGTCTCTTCTCCCAAGTAACAAGCGAAAGAACAAGAGGAAGTGGTCTCAAGTTGCATCAGGGGAGGTTTAGATTGGAGATTAGGAAGAAATTCTTCACCGAAAGAGTGGTCAGGCATTGGAACAGGCTGCCCAGAGAGGTGGTGGAGTCACCGTCCCTGGAGGTGTTCAAAAAACATGTAGATGTGGCACTTCGGGACATGGTTTAGTAGACATGGTGGTGTTGGGTTGACAGTTGGACTTGATGATCTTAGAGGTCTTTTTCAACCTTGAAGATTCTATGATTCTATAATAAAGCCTCCTTTGATTAGACACAGCCATTTGAGTCTGGGGTCCTAACCATGGGACAGAACCCCAGTGCGAGCTAGTGGCTGATACCAGCATAGCTTGTTCCCAGGACTCGTTATTTCCTAAGAATTCATGGATTCCTGGTAATTCAATCAACACCAGGAACCACAATGGCAGATATCTTAGTATGAAAGCCACAAAGAAACAGAAATTAAACTTAACGCCTGCCTCAGACACAGAGATTGTGGGCTGAGATTCTCTTCCAGCCGATGCCTACAGACCAGCCATGCCTGAACACTTTCCACCACACCAAGCCGGGCCGGGTCACACTGCTGGGCTCGTGACTGCTCATCCTGGAGAAGCAGGAAAAATGGAGCTTATACAACTTTACTCTGTGACGATGCTGTCAGCCCAGCTCTGCAGTTGCTGCTCTTGGACCGCTTTTGGCTACTGGGCTCTTCTTCTTCTTCTGAAGCAAGGACACTGCTGGAGCACACCTTGCTTCAGAGGAACCACACAGTCAAAGCAGAAGAAAAGCCCTCTGAACTCGTTTTCCCCACCGAAGCAACCCCATGAGTTCAATGTCCAAGGGGAAACCAGGAAGGAGCACTGACCCTCAAGGGTCTGTACTGGGACCAGTACGGTTTCGTATCTTCATCAATGGTGTAGATAGTGTGATCAAGGGCACCCTCAGCAAGGCTGCAGGTGATGCTGAGTTTTGTAGCTGATACAAGGGATGCCATCCAGAGGGACCTGGACAGGCTGGAGGAGTGGGCCTGTGTGAAGTTCCTGAAGTTCAACAAGGCCAAGTGCAAGGATCAGGACCCAGTCCCAGCAGATGGGGATGCATGGATGGAGAGCAGCCCTGCGGAGAAGGACTTGAAGATAATGGTGGATAACAAATTGGACATGAGCTGACAATGTGTGCTTGCAGCCCAGAAAACCAACCATATCCTGGGCTGTATTCAAAGAAGCGTGGCCAGCAGGTCGAGGGAAGGGATTCTCCCCCTCTACTCCCTTCTCCTGAGACCCCACCTGGAGCACTGCATCCAGCTCCGGGGTCCCCAGCACAAGAAAGACGTGGACCTGTTAGAGCAGGTCCAGCAGAGGATCCCAGGGCTGGAACAGCTCTCCTGTGCAGAAACGCTGAGAGAGTTGGGGGTGTTCAGCCTGGAGAGGAGAAGGCTCCAGGGAGACCTTACTGCGGCCTTTCAGTATGTAAAGGGGGCTCACAAGAAAGGTGCGGAGAGACTTTTTACCAGGGTCTGTAGTGACAGGAGAAGGGGCGAGGGTTTTAAACAGAAAGAGGGCAGGTTTACATTGGACATGAGGAATAAAGGTTTTACGCTGAGGGTGGTGACACAGTGGCACGTGTTGCCCAGAGAAGTTGTGGATAGGCCAGGTTGGATGGGGCTTTGGGCAACCTGGGCTAGTGGAGGGTGTCCCTGCCCGTGGCAGGGGGTTGGAACTAGATGGGCTTTAAGGTCCCTTCCGACCCAAACCATTCTGTGAGTCTATGACTTGCTGAGTGGCACAGTAACTCTGCTCCCCACACCCAGCTCCCTTTTCTTATGAGGGAGAGCAGTCACTGCAACCACCTGCAGCCGGCTGGCTCTGGGTTTCATGCAGACCCTGTTCTCCTCTCAAAAGGGAAACACGTCCAGCAGGCACAGGGTTTCAGGGCTCTGCTCTGCTTCAGAAGGATCATAATGCCCACAGCAGAGCCCCAAAAACGTAAGCTAGAAACTGCTCTCCTCACCCATTCCTCTCCCCAGCCACTGGGAACAGCTTCAAAGTCACCTAAAAAAGTCTCCCTGCTCCTCTCACAGTGCCGACTACAAGTACTTGTGTCCTCTCCTGCACCTGGGTTCGTGGCCATCGTCTTCCCATCAAAATCTCCCAGGCACAGGGCTTGCTCCAACTCAGAGCCGGCTGGCTCCCCAGACAGAGCCAGGGCTTGATCCTCTGGACAAGCACATCAGAAGTCCAGACCTCAGGATGAAGCAGCTTCCACATCATCCAGCGAGCTGGGTCAACCAAAACCTAATCCTTCCCTACCACTCCCAGTACACGTAATCCTGTATGAAGGTCCAGCAGGTCCAGGACTGGTGTCCCTGTGCTGGCAGCTGAACAAGGAATCAAGATCGTTTACATGCACCGTACGCTCTGATCGGCTGTTTCAGTTGTGCGAGGTTAGTAATCATTACTGCTGCTCTACTCTAAGTTAGAAGCATGCCTCTCGAGCGCTCGTAGTGCCAGGGTAACGACCCTTGGAAAGCACCAGCAAGGTGAAAGAGCTCAGCGCCGCAACCTCGTTCTAGCTAGAAGAATGGCAGCATACTACAGAGATCAAATCTAAAGCACGTTGAGAGGTGCTAAGTTTAAGCAATTTCAGATTAGAATTTCCAGTCCTAGGCATCACACACGCTTCTGTGCAACACTCATGCATCTTTCGCTCAAAGGCATTGGAATTTCCACCTCTTTACTCGGACGGGAACGCATCCCAAAGCTTCCTTGTTATGATCACCAGCAGGGACTCATAGCTCAATCTTGGAAAAAGGGGGAATTAAGGTATTTAGATGCTGTGGCAAGCCAGGAGCGAAGGAGGAGAGGGCATCGTTGCAGGGGCACGCCAAGAGGCACTTCTCAGCCCTCAGAGACAAAGCCAGCCCGTTCCCCCCCAGCTCTCAGGGCCCCCGAGAGCAGCAAGAGGAGCTGAGGGAACAGACCTCCAGCTCCCACCAACACAAAACCTCTCTGCTTTGCATTTCCAGAAGATGCAATTGCTTCCACCCCTGGATGAATGAGTTCAATGGCATAATTAATTGGCACTGGTTGGAGGAGAAACATGAGCTGAGCAATAGGGTTTTGGCACAAGACCCATTTGCCGTGACAGCCGGAGGGGGGCAGAACTGCTCCACAATGACCGGTTGGTCGACTATAAATTTAGAGTGATCATTACTAAGGAAACTTAAGACCTTTCCCCGCTTACTGATGAAGCAATCTACCTACAAAGCTGTGAAAGAGAGAGGAGCTCAAGCAATGCAGCACTAACTGCTCTCAAAGCCCTCACCCAGTTTGTCTGTGGATGTGATAATATCAGCTGGAAGGGAGGAGTCCAGATCTGCATCCAAGATGCCCAGTGGGTCGAGTTGTGCTACATGATGCCCTCGAATCTATGAAATGGGCCAGGAATGGAAAGGAGAACAGGTACCAAGAGGGAGAGGGGACAGGGAGAAAAACAAAAGAGGGGAGGGGTAAAAAAGTTAAATTACATTAGAATTAATTTGCAGAGTAATTCTCACCGACGTTTGGAGAAACAGTTACTGGCGCATCATCAAAATTTACACAACTAATGCCGAGAGGATCAAGCTTTGCAATGTGATGACCCCTGACCTAGAAGCAACAACACAAATTAGTCATTAAAACAAGTTAATTGAAGAGACATTAAAAAAAAAAACCCCACAAAAAACACAAAACCAAACAAAAAACCAACAACAAGTCATGCACAGTTTCCCTCTTTGCATTTTCTGCAGAGCCACCCCAATTTCTGGCTGCAACTAAAGCCTGGAAAAGTTGGGTTTACTTTCAACTACAGCATGTAGGTGTGAGTGCTACCAGCTGCAAGGACCACTCTGCTCTGCCTGAAGCCAGGCTTTGATGGGGCAGGCAGGGGGAAGGTGATCTCCTTTGCAGCAGAGACCTTCCGGAACTGCGGTCCGAGGGTCTCCCACCACTTGCCTGGCATCCAACCCAAGCACCTCCTCTCTATGGATGCAGTAACTCCACACTGATGGTTTCCTCGTAAGCATCAGAGCAAATGAAGAGGCAGTTTTCCAGATTTTGGCAGGATGTAGGTGCTCTCCTGCCAACGTGGCAGAGAAAACAAGCGTTGCCACCAGCAGTAATAGCTCCTGAAAGGTGGAGGAGCGTGTCTGAGGAACATCTGCTTGTCTGTGCTATTAGAGGTCAGCAGCTCGCAGGATCGTTTTGGAGAGAGGAGCCTACAGCAGGACTTGGAGCACTCTTCTGGGAAGGGGCAGGTGCAGAAATACCAAAGAGCTCTGGCACCAAGAGAGCCCTGACAGCTCCCGGTGGTGGCAGACAGGCCAGGAGTCACCACGCTGGGTTTGAATCTGCAGCGGGAGCCACAGAGAATAAAGAGAGATCAGGAGGAATTTCGTTTTTTGCCTTCACAGGAGGAGGTGCCCACAGACAGATCCCACCACATCTCTCTGGGCAAACTCAATTCATCTCAGTTGCCAGAACCTTCCAACTGGCAAGCCACGGTTTATTTCTTGACAGCTCCTGGTCTCCAAGCTTCAGGCTCAGCTACGCTGGGAGCAGGGCAGGAAGCCCTACTGCTGTGGTGTGGGGTGCAATGCCTTCTTTATGCGGTGAAAACATTACTCCTGGCCATCAAATCTGTTACCAGTTAGAAAAATCACTCATATACGAGGGGATTAATAAATCTCTTGCACAAACCAGACATACTGATCTGACTTTATTTACCAGAAAGGCATTTCTATTCAAAATATCCCAAGGGGATTTTAGCAAAGGATTTTTGTGGTTTTACCAGCCAGAGGGCCTGAAATCACCCATTGATGTTAAGGCAAATTGCTAAGAAAGCAACGTTCCCCCGCTATGCTCTCTGCAGGGCCAGATGACCAAGTGCCCCTGAGCACTGGCAGCCACATGGAAAGGTCTTCTTCTGGGCCAGCTTTGTGTGGGAACTATTTGTTTGTCCATCTTGTAGCAAAGCACGGGCCCTCTGCCCATCATTTAGCAGTCAGCAGGACACAAGCTCACTGCGCTGTTCCCCACGGCCAGGATGCTCTCACCAGGACCAGGAGGCCACTTCATCCAGCAAACAGCTTTGAGCCGGGGGCACCCAGTGGCTTTGAGGTCAACTCAGCAGTTTGCAGCTACACAGCAAATCCTCAAATCGGTGCGGGAGCGAAGAGAAGGTCTTCTGCCCCATAGGAGCCATGCTGCTTGTTATTCTCCACATGCAACGCAAGCCAAAACAAAAAGCCCCAAACCCAAAACAAGACCACAGCAGATACTTGCAGGAAGTATCACGCTTGCGGGCCCTGATCCTGATAGGGGACTTCAACCACCAAACCATCTGCTGGAAAAGCAGCACAGCGAACTGCAAGCAGTCCAGGAAACTACTGGAGTGGTTGAGGACAACTTCGTAGTAGAGATGATGGAGAGTCTGAACAGAGAGCAGGCACTACTGGACCTGTTGCTCACTAAGGCAGAAGAAATTTGGAATGATGCGGAAGCTCAACATCAGCCAGCAACGTGCACTCGCAGCCCTGAAAGCCAACCGTATCCTGAGCTGCATCAAAACCAGTGTGGCCAGGAGGTCAAGGGAGGGGATTCTCCTCCTCTTTTCTGCTCTGGTGAGACCCCCCTGCAATACTGCATCCAGCTCGGGGGTCCCCAGGACAAGAAGGACATGGAGCTGTTGGAGCGAGGCCAGAGGAGGCCACGGAGATGATCCGAGGGCTGGAGCACCTCTGCTCTGGCGGAGAGTTGGGGTGTTTCAGCCTGGAGAAGAGAAGGCTGCGGGGAGACCTTAGAGCCCCTTCCAGTCCCTGCAGGGGCTCCAGGAAAGCTGGAGAGGGGCTGGTGACAAGGGCAGGGAGTGACGGGGCAAGGGGAATGGCCTGAAGCTGCAGGAGGGGAGATGGAGATGGGATGGGAGGCAGCAATCCTTCCCTGTGAGGGTGCTGAGGCCCTGGCACAGGGTGCCCAGAGAAGCTGTGGCTGCCCCTGGCTCCCTGGCAGTGTTCAAGGCCAGGCTGGATGGGGCTTTGGGCAACCTGGGCTAGTGGAGGGTGTCCCTGCCCATGGCAGGGGTGGCACTGGATGGGCTGTGAGGTCCCTTCCAACCCAAACCACTCTAGGATTCAAAAAGAAATAATGACTTGGAGATGCAACCACAACTACAATTAAGAAACCATTGCTGATGCTGCAGCAGAGCAGGGTCACTGCTCACCTGTAATTACAGGGATAATTCAGCTTGATCCAATTAAGAAATTAATTGCCTGGTGTTTTAAGTAGGTTACCCATCACAGGCAGGGTTTCCTCCTGCCTTTCTACTCCTTCATACCTCCATACACTGTGCTGAACCTCCTCACCCGGACACCCCACTGCAGATACAACTCTACAGTGACACTGGGGTAGGAAGGGAAGTGGATGCAAACAGCTCAGAAAAATACATCCAAGAGCAATCACCTCCCAGCACTGCCATTTGGAGCCTGAGGAAGTGAAGGGAATGCAGAAGAGGTTGTGGATTTTGTGTTCCAATCACTGACTTTGAGCTGCTGCCTCCAACTACATCAGTCACCACTTGTTTGAACTTGGCATCTGCCCACGTTCCACCAGCGAGAGCCGCATGGCCTTTAGAAACGGCTCGCCAGGATCTGCCCAAGCTGGAGAGAGCTGGCAGGATGGTCATCTCCCACGAATCAGCCACAAGGGAAGACACAGGTCCTCACGAACACATCCCAGCTTCTCCTTCTTAAAGAAAAGCAAGGCAGTGCCCCAGCATTGACGTCGGCACCTCGGCTGCGGAGGCGGACAGGGGCACTTTCTTCAAGCCAGAGAGCAGGGCCAAGACTGGGCGGACCTTTGAACTTGCCCAGTGCTGCAGTTCTTGCCTTAACCTATGGCCTTGTACATTGGATTTTCCCCGTACCTAAGCAGGAACACAATCTGCAGCGGGTGCTGCTTTGCAGGAATAGGTGACAAGACCATGGTCACACCTCCACAGCAGCTGGGTTTGTTAACTTCTCACCACAGCACCAATTAAAGCCCCCACACTTGACAAATCAGAGCGCAACTGAAGGTGAAAAGATGACACAGATATAGAAATCTGTTTAAATGTTCTCTCAAGTTAAAATATTGCCTGGCCATCCCCTAGCCGGCCGATGTTTCCTTCCTTGTTTCTCCCAAAAGGCTGACTTTGGCAGTATCGGTCTGAGTTGCAGCCCAGCAGCACCACAGCCCTCTTCCCAGCTGCAAATCACAAGGAAATGCTTCCTGAACTTTGATTTTAAGACCTCAGAAGTTCTCTCAGCAACATGGGAGAAGCAGGATGTGTGTCCCACGTCACCGCTGAGCGAGGCAGGAGCCCACAACGCAGAAGCACCATTCCAGAAGCCAGCAAACCATCTTGCGCTGAGAAGACCTCCCCCTCCCTGCCACCACAATCGCTCTGTTTGGGTGACAATAGCTTTAATCTTTCAATTGTCCAGCAAAGCAACAGCTGAGCTTCTGCCCCAACAGATCAGCAGCTCCTGTTAAAAAACAGGCGGCCCAGCACACATCCTGCACACTCTCCATGCAAAACACGTGCATCAACCACACTAAACCCAGCCCACCTCAGCCACCACATGTCCCTCTACGGAAGACACACTCCTCCTCAGCACAAAGGCTGTCTTCTTACCTGATATGCCCTGATGAGAGATTGCACTGCGAGATGGTCCTCCACCAGTTTATCTACATTGGGCTGTGCTTGAACCAGGAACTGGGCTTGGGACAGCGTGGAAAGGCTGGTACTCAGTGGAGGGGGGCTTTGGTAAGCGGTGCCTGGAGCAGCTCCAGCATTGGCATTGCGAAAGAAGATGTCCCATGACTAGGATAAAGGAAAAGAGAGAGACGACAGTGTCATTACCCACAACCCAAACAGCTCCTCACTCGAGCGAGGTTACTGGGGTCTCAGCTCTACTGCCGCAGCGGGGAGTAAAAGCCCCCAGGGCAGAGCTGTCTCCTCCCCTGCGCCCCAGCTCCACGCAGCCGCTGCCAAAGGCCCCCACCTGCCTTGGACAGGAAAGCACTAACGCTCTCCCATGATTCCAGTCATGCCATTATCCCTCTTCCCATCCATCTGAATTGTTTCTTTTGGCATGAGACCATCCCAGAGGCCACCCTCCCTCAGCAGCAGGGCTCAGGACAGGACACGGGTGACACCCCTCACCCAGCTCAGCTCTCGAAACTGCTGCTCTGAGCGGTGAGCCCCAGCCTGGTCTTCAGGCTCGTTTCCTTCTCTCCAGCTCAGGAGACTGGCCTCTAAATACCCACAATATTTTCTGAAAAATATTTTTTACCCTGTAATTAAATACACCTCTTCCTCTTTTCTGTGCTATAAATGGCCTGAGACCCAGGACACAGCGTAACCCATGTTGTCCAGCTCTCAACCAGCAACAGCTTTTTACTTTTTCTGTCCCCTCTCCAATTTTTCCCCATCCTTGCAGCAATGCTGATGCCAGTGCTATACAGATACTCCTGTGCCAGCTGTCCTGTGCCCTGAGCAAGGCAGATAGATATCACCTCTGCTCCTGTACCCCTCCGCAGATGGGCATTTCTAGGTGTTAGGAAAAAACAAAGCAAAACCTGTCAAAAAAGCCCTCAACAGACTTGGCGTAACTTTGTCGTACTTAACCAGCACTGCCTGAAGAACCCAGAAGCCTCACAGGCCAAGCCCAAGTTAATCTGTCTGCTCAAAGAGGCGTCAACAGACCTGGGTAAAGGGAGAGACCAGCAGAGCAAAGTCCAAGCCACGTCCTCCTGTCACGCTCTCACCCCTACCCACTTCCCACGCGCCCCTGAGCGATAGCAAAGGACGAGGGCAAGACGGAACGGCATCTGCATGCCGGCAGGTACCCGAGGCACCAGATAGAGCAAGCAAATCCCGTCAGATTTGCACATTGGTTTCAGCCCAATGGTCTCTCCGTTGGCCGGGAGCAAGAGCTCAGTGCTCAGTACCCTGCGCACCCCTGAACCTCGTGTCTGTGGAGAACCCCAAACCCAGCCTCAGTGGTGCAGAGGAGGGTGAAGTGCTGCCCAGCCAACCCCAGCGTTTTTAAGCCAAGTTGAAAATTGCTGAGAGAGCAGCTCCAGTGGTGGTTTGGGGCAGAAACAGCAGCTTTTGCACCCTGGTAGCAGGGTGGAGAGAACTGAAAAACCTGACCTTTGCCAGAGGAGCACCAGCTCTCCCCCTTCCCTGGAGCTCCTGCGGCTGCAGCACCCATCACATGCCCCAGGAAGCTATTTCCAGCCCAGATTTACCCAGGCACCCCATCACACGGCTGTGCAAAGTGATTAAATTTAGAAACAGGTCATGCTGAAGGAACATAAATAAAATCTGGAACAATTTGGCACCATAACTGATAAACAATAGCTCCCCCAAAGGAAGGAGGGAGGGCAAGAGAGAGAGAGAGAGAGAGGGGAAAGAAAAAAAAAGACAGAAAACATCCAACCCTGTTCTGATTGCTGTCCGCGAAAGGAAATTCAGTAGGAAAAGAGGGATAGCTGCTTTTTGTACAATCCTTACTCCTGGCCCAAGCCCCTTCCCCAGACACGCAGGGCTCATGGGTGCTCCAGAAGCCATCGGCTCCCGTGAGCGGAAGGGACAAGCACCCCAGGATGGGTTCCATGCCCTTGGGATGGGGAATCTGGCTGGCTGCTTTGCTCAGTGGTTTAAGGTTGTTTAATGTACTGGAAAATAAAGACAGGAAAATAAAGACAGGCAAGAGAAAGGGAGCATCTGCTAGACCAAGGAGGGGGCTGGCAGCAGTGCTGGGGGCACAAGGACAGAGCCAGGAGGCAGAGGTGTCTCCTTTAGGACCTCCTCCCTTCTGACATTCAACAATATTAACCACATGGAGATGCAATTTGCTTCTGTTCTGAAAGAAAAAGTTAATTTTAAGCTCTCCAAACAAGGTGCGGCACTGGCTCGGTCAGCTCAGGCACTTTCGCTAAATGCTTTATTGCCCAACATAATTACAGAGTACTTCAGGCTGCCTGACTGCAGGCTTCACCCCTGGTGAAGGTTGTGGCCCTGATAAGAGCTATAAAAACGTCAGATTTCAAGTTGCTGATGTGGTTTAAAATTTGAGGGTATTCAAGGGCCACCCTGGGGGGTTCTGGTGACCCACAGAAGCACCTTTGGAGCTCTTGTATCCCATGGGAGAGGCTGAACAGCCCCATCGGTGTTATCCTGCTTTATCGCGGGAAGGAGGACTTTGCCTTAATCCAGCACTTGCTGAAGGTAACAGCAGTAATAAAGCTCATCGGGTTATTCCCCTCCAACCCTCTCCATGCCCACAGCAGCCCTGTGAGCACTCCTCCAGCTCTTATACCCTACACGTAAGCCAGTATCTCCCCCCTCCTGAGGGCACAGGCAGCCCCCAGGTCTTGGCACGCTAAATGCTCTCAGCCCCAGGTCCCTGCTGTGACCACCCCCCAGCCATGTGTCCCACCACAGCCACAGCACGAGGTGTTAGCCTGGACCGGCTTTCCCGGCGCTCCTCTGTGCTGCTGCTCGTGCACCAGCAAAGCGGGATGGGAGAGCCAGGTGACTGCAGCAAGCCCAGATAGTTCAGGCTTTGGAGGGATTTTGAGCTCACCACAGGCCTCTCTGTTGAGAACAGCCCCAGAAGGAGCTCACCAAGCGAAACCAGCATCTTTCATTTCCTTTATCAGACTCGGTTCCCAGAGAAGGGTGTGGGCTCAGACTAATACGTCCCAGCCTCCGTCACAAAGCCAGCTCAGAGATCAGGCATGCGTGGCAAGGGGAGAGGGGTGACATCTCCCACCCCCCCCGCAGGGCACCTCAAATTGGGCTGGGGCTGCTCCGGGCCAGGAGGTTAACAAGGGAGACACAGCCTCTACCTCCAGCTCAGGCTGTGTCCCTGCTCCTTCTCCTGCCACGGACTCCAGGGGACAGAAAGTACCAACCAGAGCTGCTCCGCATGGTCGGCAAGCCAGGCAGCACCTCCTGCTTTAGCAGGGAGAAGAGGAGGAACATTCAGAGCTTACAGCTGGAACAGGAGAAGCCCAAACCAAATTTACAACAGAGAGCAGGGGGCCAAGCAGCGATTGATCAGTTTGTGCTTTGCATATCACCTTGTCCTTTATCAACATAAATAAGGGCCTTCAATTCTCCAGGGTGCTCGCTTTTGAAGGAGGAGGGTGAAACTCAAATGTTTCCAACTCTCAAGACTCCTACCAAATTCAGCCTGGGCCCCTATTTGCGAGCACAACCGCACAGAATGCGGCAAAGGCACCTCCCAGGGCCAGGCGTGGCTGCAGGTTCCGTCATGTCGGCAAAGCTGGGGTTACACGCATGTCTGTGTGCATTGTGACCATAAAGCCACTTTCAATATAAAAATCAAAACACTAGCATATTAAAAACTCCACGTTAAAGACTCTTTGATGGACATACGTACTGGGAGAGCTGTATCCCTTTACACCAGGTCAACCTAAACACAGGAACTGCCGTTTAGAAAGGCTAAACTTGTCGCAGATGTATGGCTGTGGGTATCACCTACCTCTGGCCACTTGCCCTGAAGCAAACAAGCTGCTCGGGGTCCTGGGGAGATGGCAGGGGTTGTGCCGAGCATCACTAGCAGCCAGCGCCGTACCCGAGTTGGCAAAGAGCTGCTCAGCCCTGCGGGGCAGGAGAAGGGTGTCCCCGCTCCCATCGGAAGCGGTCCCAGCAGCGAGCAGCACTGAGCCTGCGGCAGCCCACCGGCACCCCACACCGTCGCCTCCTCTTTCCCCACCTCTATTAGCTCATCAGACTCAGAAACTGGAGTTCAGCTGAAAAAAACCCTAAAAAAATATTTACTTTTTTTTCTTCAAATCTTCCCTACTCTAAACAAACCCTTAAGTATTTTCTGCAGTTTAAACCACCAGTGTCTGCATGGGGAAGTGAATTCATTTTGCTCAGCCAGGAGGTTGTGCTGGCCGGACTTCTCATAGGTTTTTGGTGACAACAGCAAGGAAACCCCAGCTCCTCCCTGGCTGAAGGTCTCACTCTCACCAGCAAAGAGCAGCACAGCGAGGCATAGCCAGTCTCTGCTATGTGCAGGGAACAGATAAGCCACAGCCAGGTCTGTGTGACAGCCCGGAGGGTTTTTTGGGAAGCCCACCCTCAGATCTGACCCTACGTCTAACAGGATGGAGGCCAATGCTTATCAGGGACGGTGGTGAAACGTTCCACTGCTGCTCCAGTGTTGTGTCGGAGGGGACACAGGCTGACGGGGACCGCTCGTGAGCCAAGACCAGGGACAGCCACAACCCCGATCCCACCACAGCAGCTTGGTGTCCCAGCAGGGACAGGGTGAACCATAAAAAAGTGCAGAGAGGAGAAAGGGGCAAAGCTAGGAGCTGAGAAGGGATCTTGGTAAAGGGGTCACTGGAACGAGGTGGGATCCACCCAGGAGAGACAAGTCAATTATGAGGGTCAAGTGCATCAGGGAGCAAGAGCAAAGTCCATGCCAAACCTCAGGTACCAATCCCACCAGAAGTTTTGGGACCTGGAATTGGATTTCATCAGATCACAGAATGATTTGGGTTGGAAATGACCTTCAAAGATCAATCTAGTCCAACACTCCTGGTCCAACCCCTTTCTGTCAAGCAGGATGCCAGCTTGATTTTCTTTAAAAAGCAATCTGTAAGACTTGCTTTTTACATTACAAGCATCAGGTTTGCTTCCTGGCAAAAAGACCCTATTTCATTTTCACACTGATTTTTCTGCTTTCATAAACCATTCCCAGCCCCACTGGAGGCAAAATCTTATGTCAACTCCTGCACTGCTCTCCAAGCACTTACTTCAAGGGACATTGATTTCCAGGGGGGACTAATAGACACTTGCAATTCTTCACCATAAACATTGGACTGGGGGCCTGGAGAGGTGGTGGGAGCTCCACTCTTGTAGGTGCTCAAAACTTGACCGCACAAGGCCCCGACTGACCTGATCTAGCCACAAACCTAGACGTCACCTCCAAGCTGGATGCCACCTCCAAGTGAGACATGACGGGACAGAGGCTCCAGAGGCTCCTTCCAACCTAAGTTCTCCTTCCAATTTCTTCAGCCAGCGTGCACGAGGACTCCTGCACAGCAACTGCATGCACTGCCTACCTACAGGCAAGGGGCTACGTTAAAGAGGAGACAAGACCAGAAGAGATCTAGAGGTCTGACCTCAGGACCCAAATACACTTCCCAGCCAGCCACCTCGGTTAGTCTTGAGGCTTGCTCTCACATCTGCTCAGAGCGACATTCAAGACTGAGCAGGGTCTGTACGCTGAAGAGCCGGCATCAAACCGTGAAGACTCTTGCCAAAGACACAAATCTGCCTGTCACTGGGACAAGCGTGGTATAACCCTTGCTCATTTTTAAATTAGACTACAGCACTTAGATTCATGGCTTTTAATTCACTATCTCACCTCTGAAGGACTGGGCTGCACCACATGCGTGTGCTTGGGTAGCTTTCAAGTGACTATCTGACCAAGGGCACAACCCAAACCAACGTACTTTGTGCTTTCTGAGTCTGTATTGCTTGGCTCAGCCACCTGTTTGCCTCAAAAGAGGCATAAAGTTAACATCATTTATGAAAATCCAGCTGTGATCCTACCTTAAGACCTTTACAGCACCCTACAGGCAGTGCGTTTTGGATGCATGGGATCGGTGCCATCAAAAACACACTCAACACTGATGCAAGCGTTGGGGCATGAGATTCCTTAGTCAGCCCTGACTGCTCATTTAACCATCTGCAAACCTGGTTTGCAGACTGCTCATGTGCTACTGAATCAAGAAAATCCCTGCTCTACATCAGGACATGTATGAAACTGTCTTAAAAATCCCCTGGGTAATGCTGAGACTTAGTCACTAGAGGAACATTTTACTTGTGAAACACTGGGGATGAGGAAAAATGCAGTTGGGTTTTAGAAATCCTCTTCCCAGCTGAGACCTCACCTGCTGGACTCTATGTTTAAAGAGCTGGCCTTTTCCTCGCTGGAGGAGCATCAGTAATTCAGATCAAACCAAACCTCTGCACATACTGCCCATGGCTGGGTTGGTTTCCCAATTTTAAAATTGGGAGCAGCTGGTGGGAATTCCTCTGGCCACCAGATCCAGCCCCCCTCCCCAGGCTGGAGATCAGCAGCCCGGCTTTATGCACACAAGCTCAAAGTCAAGCTTAGCTACAGCCCATCTACCGCAACACGTAACACCACATGTGCTTGAAGCAAAAAAGGAAACCAGTCAAGATGTGGAGACTACCCTCCCTGCCTCCCCGCCATCCCCCACTCCAGAATAAACCCTCCTGATGAGCCATCAGAGCTGGAAAAAATAAAGCATTGGGAGCTCGTTACAGGTGGATTCCCAGGATAAGGCATTCCTTGTATCCGTTTGTGATCCAGGATGCTGCCCACGTCCCACAAGCCCACGGCATTCCCTCTCGAACACAGAAACTCCTCTTGGCTCTTCTTCAAGGAATCGCTGACGTTTCATTCCAGCAAAGCGAGGCAGAAGGACCATCCACAACCATCCGGCCCCTCCAGCTGAATTCAATCCTCCTTGAGATGCGTGCACTTACCTGAAGCCAATGCTCAGACACGCACAGAGAGAAGCGAAGGCGATATCCTGGAGAGGTTGCTCCTTACCTTATGTACACTTTTGGGATTTTCCAGCCAAGCATAATACATTTCCTCCACGTAGTTTGAACTAGTCCCACTCAAAAAAGGCTCAGCAGCCACTGGTGCGCTGTAGCACCTGATCTGTTGAAACGTCCTGGGTGCTGCCGGCCTGTGTTGGGAAATTGTCTTTACAGTCTGTGAGGCCGTCAACGGCCTCAGCTTTGCCACACAAGTCCTTAAGTTAAGCATGTTTGTCCTGTCGCCTCACGCAAGTTCCTGTTGAGAGAGAAGGGAAAAGCAGGTTAGAAATTATTGCAGGAGAGCACAGAGCAAAGACCACCCTCCTCCCCACGCTGACCACGGAGAACTGAGCTTAGGATCAGTTTTTAATTTGGATTAATCCATCCATGCGGTCCCATGGCCAAGTCCCAGATGGCTGGGAGATGTAGTTTTTGCTCAAGACGCTCGGCGCAGCCGGGTCTGTCTCCCCCATCCCTGCCAACACAGCACTGTCATCTCCCCCGACGCAACAGTGAAAAGCAGATGTGCTCGGTGAGGTACACAACTCCGGCCTCAAACAAGCCACTACACGTCAAAGCCACCTGCACCTTTTTATATTGGCACCTTTGTACAAAATAAGGCATGCTTGATGGTGAAACGCAGCCCCAATTAACAGTATAAGGTATCAGGTTCCCCCGATGCTTTCCTCTTTAGTTCCTAGTCAACAACATCGACTCCTTTTCCAATAATAAATCCATAAAGTATTCTTTCATTTCTTTTGATTTTTTAATTCTTCCTCTGAGAATCCTCTTTTTGTTCGTTTTAAACAGGAAAATCCTCTCTATGAAACTCAGATTCCAGCAGGAGTTGGACACTTTGGCCCTTCAACCTCTCATTTGCAGGGACGTCGTACAAGATTAAAGAAAAGCACTTTAAAGCACCGTGCCTAGAAGGGTGCTGGAAAAAATTTGTTACCAGCTGGATTTTAATGCTGAACGTCATGTTTTCCTTCACATCGAGCTCATCCAATCTAGTGGGTGCACTCCTCCAGGCCTGCGCAAGCTGCAGAGTGACAGCTCTCGTCACACTGACCCAGTGTGGAAGCTTTTTCTGTTGTTCTCTCCCAGGTAGAAGGTGTCAGCTTTGAGTTTTGCTGAGTTACTCACCCTGCGATCACTCGCCTTGGCCAAGGTTTTCTTCTTGCCAGATTGTGTTACGTGCCCCAGGATAAAGCTGGGAAGAAATCGTCTATGGGGAAGACCCCTCACAAAATAGAGGTACAGTGGTGCGAAGCACTTGGGATGCAGGCTCCAGGACAGACTGCTTTATTGCTTCTCCTTAAAGGCTCGGACCCAAGAAGGCTCACGCAGTCAAAAGACACAAAGAGGGGCTCTCCCCTGCCTGGGGAACCCAGAAAAGCAACCCCGAGCCAGTGTGGGTCCTCTCAAAGGTCCACCAGCAACCTCCACCTTGCAGCTCTTGGTGGACAGTGAGGCCTGGGGTTAACCATGCTCCTTGTTAGACACATTCGACCGACAGCCACAGCCCAAGGGAAAGTGCTGGAGCAAGATCACCTCGGGGGAAGTGCTGGCAGTTGGAGCCAGCTCTTCTTGGAGCTGCCCTTTCCAGCCAGCTCCTCCCGCAAGAGGCAGGACCCGAGGCTGGAGGTGACCCAACTGGCCAGTTTCCATTTTCCCCGACCAGTTTAACGAGCAGCAGCCCAATGTCAAAGCAGCTATCGTGCATTCACCACATTAAAATCAAGTTTTGCAGCAGACTGAAGAAAAAAAAAATACACCTCTGTGACCTGTGTTTCGTCAGCCAGGCTTCCAGATTTGCCTTGCTGAATCTAGTTCTGGCTACTCGGCACAGCAGTGGCTATGCTTCCCGCCTCAAAACACAATTTTGGTCCAAAGAACCCAAGGAAGACCCAGGATCGCTCTAATTCAGCCAAAGTCTTTTACAGATTTACTCAAGGGAAAAAGGGAAGACCACTTGTCCTTTCCACCCTGCTCGCTCACTCCTACCTGCAGTCAAACCCAGACTGTAACAGGCAAGAAATGGCAGCAGGTACAGGACAGCGAGCGCGGCCGCAGTAGATGTTTCCCAGCTTACCCTCCTCAGATTTAACAGGCAAAACACACGCAAATATTTGAGAGAGCTGACTGAATCAGATGTCGGCGTACAGGCACGCACGCGGCGGGGAAAAAGCTTTAGGACGAAAAGCGTTGGCAGAGTCTCTGGCTTTGGTGTCCGGTTTCGGTGCTGCTGCTCAGCAGCATCCCAGTGACTTCTCTGGAAAACAGGGTCAATGCCAGGTCAATACCAGGGTTTCACCCAAATCAAGTACAACCAGCTGGTTTTCGAGGGCCTCTTGCAGAACTATTTGCCTTCCTGAAGGCGCATGAGCTCGTGCCGTGCCGCAGACCAGGGCGAGCTCGGAGCAGGGATGTTTCCAAGGTAAATCAAATCAGCGCACAAGGACCAGGAGCAAGGACGTAGGAAACCGAGCCCGAGATAACCGATACAGGGGTCACACACGAACACAAAGTTCACGCACGGAGTTACAGCTGAAGAGGCGTTAAGGAGAGGAAGCCCAGGTTTGTTGGCCAGGCCCCCGTGGCGACAGTCGCGTCGCAACCCGAATTTCACCGAGAGGTCAAACAACAGGAACACTCATAACAGATTAACGGCTGGGACAGGCAAGAGCATACCGTTAAGCAGATTAAGGTACTAAATTTGGCCTCTGGCAGCCGGAATCCGTGACACCTGCCCCAGAAGGCAGTTAGTTGGGAATTGCGGGGTTTTTGGAGGGTTCAAATCAGCGCAAATTCAGCGTTAAAAGGAAGCGGCAGGGCCGGGGCCGTCCCAGGGCCGCGGGCTCCTGGCCCAGCTGCTGCAGCACCAGGCACCTTCG